CTGAGCTAAATCCCCAGCCCCTGATTTCTTATAAGTGTCACTCTGTGCTGTGAAGCCTTCACTGCAATTATAGTTAATCCAAAAGAAGAAAATAAATTCTAATAGATAGATTAAAATTTTAATCATGGCTTTGATGGTTTTGAAATGTATAGCACAGTGATTTTGTAAAAGAGCCTTCAGCTTGGAAGTGTCTGACACTTCCCTATGATGAGATTCAGATCATATATTTTTGACAGGGATACTAACATGAACAATGTTATATCCTTAGTGCATGATATCAGAAGGTACACAAAGATAAACTGTTAAAGAAAATAGTCAACAACTGTTCTGCTCTCAATGAGTAAGTAAAAGTTTCTTTCTTTAAACATATGTTTTCATAACTTTGATATTTTAATCACAACATATCATTTTAGTCCACTTCCTTTTTGAATCTTACAGATTTTTAGTTTCTGTATCACTTCCTAATTGCCATTTTATTCAGCCGAGTTGGTGCATCATAACATTTCATCATTTGGCTATTATTAGGTATGCAAGTGTTTCAGATATTTCATTATACTTGTTTTTAAGTGAAGAAAATCATACATTTTACAGAATAAAAATTATAGCAAAACAGTACACAAATGTTAGATGATTTCCCTATTAGCAGGTCTCTTGCAACTGTCTCCACCTTCTCAGCCAAAGGTCTGCAGTAATGGAAGCTCTACAGGAAGCAGGATCTGACAGAAGACATGGGTGGGATCAATATGCATTCAATCTCAGTCCTAGAAAGTATTTTAAATGTAAGCCTTAGTGACACTGATTCCACCTTGTCAGTTTTATTGATGGACTACAGAATACAGTAAGCATTGCGCTTTTGTAGAGAAAGATATAATTTGAAGGGTTTAAAATCACTATTTCTTTACAAAATTAATTTACTATCAAAATCTTAAGTGTATAAGAACTAACTAGGAATTCTATTCATGCTTTCTCCAACTCTGACACTGGAAAAAACTACCTATGAGAACTTTCTGCATGGAGAGAGAACTGTTTTACATAAAGCAGTTGTTCTGAATGTAACCAAACTACTATTAAGCTTGAGAAATAGTATGATGATGTCCTGTAATGAAGCCTTACAGATCCTACATGCCAGATGAAGTGACCTACTTTAACCAACTGTGGCCCAGTTGGAATTTTTCAGAAGCTGAACCTCAAATCTGCAAGCCAATCACCCTGGTGGAATGCCAGAAGCCCAAGACAGAGAGAATGAAAGAGGAAGGGAAGAGAGAACATTGTTGATCTCCTCTTAAGATAAGTTACCTAAGCTCCCAACAATTAATTATGACTACATTTCAAAAACTTGTCCAACCACCAACCTAACAAGCAGCCTATCACAGGATCAGCTGCTGAGTGGGAAGGAAATGAATGGCTCTCACTAGTGACCTCAGCACTTGCTGCGTCTCTTCATTGCATCTGCTCACCTCGTAATTGCCTCCGCTAATGCTCCCAGAGGGAGGGGTGGGAAGAGGCAGCAGTGACACAGACAATACTGAACAGCAAAGAAAGCAAAATAGATATTTTCTATTAGGTGTTCGCATACATCATATGATTAAGAAGGAAGTCTGTTTATCTTTTTAATTATATCCTTAGACTATTTTAAATTCTCACGTTAAACAAAAGGTCATTTTCTATTACACAGGTAGCAGGGGAAACAGTCTAAGATTTAAAATCTTTAAAAAGAAATTTGTTAAATTAGTAAACTACTAACCTGTACTGTGTGTTTCATTTCTGAAAAAATGTGCCCTCCGGTGCCCCTGGTGCCATCGTTACCACTTTGCAGCCTCTCAGGCCACTCCAGTTTTCTTCCTCTTTGACCTGAGAGCTAAGAGGGCCCACAGCCGTAGTGTGCAGCAGGGGTGCTGGTGCTGGGTCTCCACCACTGCCCTTACTCACCTGGAGTTCAGGTGCAAGGAGTGAGGATGTTCCTTTCCACCTCACCAACAATCTCTCAGAGATTCGCAGATCTGCACCATAAAATACTATGAGTATTTTAAAAATCTGAAAGAACAAGTCCCGATAGTAAAGTGCAGAGAGTAGCACACTTCTGCTGTGATGATCCACAGTTAAGTAGATCCAGGTGACTGTCAATGGATGGCCCTTTCAAATGCTCGTAAGAACACACACTATGGCTTCTTTATGTGCATGAACTGTGGTGGTCATCTGAGCTCGTGTTCAGAACACTATGCCTTGACTTCCTGCACCTAGTGATTACCAGTCCGTGATCGCCACACTAACTCCATTCATCTGAACATGGTCAGTTGCCCACACAACTTGCCCAGCTTGAACCTATAACCATGTCAGTCCCAATATCAGGTGCCCTCTCTTTCCCTATCCTCTTCCAAAAATCCATCCACGCAAGGCTCACTGTCGTGTCTTCACTTCTCAGCTGCAGTGCTCCTTACTTCGAGTCCTTGCTCTTCTTCACTAAAGTGTTCAAACAAACTTTGTTTCTTGCTTCATTCAGGCTGTGGTACCAATTCTCAAGAATCTTATCTGCTTTTAACAAAAATTTCTTTCACAAGGAAAAATTGTTTTACATTTCAAAGGTATTGATTTGGGGAGGGACTGAGTCTCAGAAACCTATTTTGGAAGGAAAAAAAAAAGCACTGACCTTTTGCTTTCTTTTCATATTTCTGTTCTAACCATTCAAATGTCTTTGAAAGGCTATGTGGCCACCTCTGCCCCTCCAGAAGTGAGGAGGTGACTTACAAGAAAGTTTAGAAAAAGAAAACATAGGTATAACTATTTAATCTGTTACATCAATAGGGGAATTGTTCTAAACCAGAATGCTCAGGTCACTCCCTGCTTAGAAGCCGTTGCAGGCCTCCCGGGCCCCATGGTACTAACATTAAATGCCTAGAATTCTAGAATTCCTCACCAACTTTTTCCAGTTTAGTGTGAGTCTCCCCCCCACAAGTCCAAACACAGCAAGCTATTTTCCGTTCTCCAAAAGCACCATGTATTAAGTCAATATACTGTTAGGATACAATTGTTAAGTGAGCTTGGATTTGAGACTCTATAAACAAACTCCAGCCCACATTCACCACTGCAATGTCTTAAGCAGGTTTTAAACAGGTCACTTTATTTCCCTCAGAAAAGGAACAACTTAATGTTGTGTCTTACCCTGCCTTTTCCAGCTGTTTCTTTATGTATGCAAAGAAACAAGATTATCTCTGTAAAACTCCATAATGATGAATCATTGCCCAAAAGTTGCTGTGTTTGTACATTTCCCTGGATCTGTGATCATAATTAACGTGGGCATGAAAGATTACTAGATTTCTTTTCTCCATGCCCCTTCACTATGCCAAGGGATCAGTGATTTTTATTACAAGTGCATTCATATATCCTTCCATTTTCACTGTAATCTAACAAAATTATTGCATTGCCATAAAGTACCCTGGCAGACATGCTACACCACATGCTTTTAATTTTTTTACTATACTCTAAAGTAACAATTATACTCATCCTGATCTACATATATGTAGACAATATCATATATGTATGTATGCATACATGATTGTGCATGTGTATCTTTTTACTATATGGAATGTTCTCAGATACTTTAATGTTATATTTTTCTTCTCTTTTATTATAAGTCCTGGTTGCAAGTCACTAACTAGATTTCACGATCTGACCTGTCGGCCACCACGTGGCCATTGGATGTGTCCTTCTAAACAGTCCCTTCTTCCAGACACTCTGTCCAGTTCCCAATGTCCGGGTTACCTGACACAGATAAAAAGATCCCATTTCCAGAATTATCATGGTACAACTTGAGGTAAAACTAACTTAGCTTTCATTCTTCCTTTTACTTCTCAGATTTTAGAAAATCCTACTGACTTCTCTCCCAGTTAAATTCTAAATTGGCCACCGCTTACATCTCCAACCCGTCTGAGGTCCAAACCCTCAACACACTTGGGACACAAGGGACCCCTTAAGTATGCACCTCCTCTGCCTCACTGCCGCTGTCCTCTCCCTCATAAAGCTGCAGAGATTATCGTGTTAAAGTTCAAGTTACATTGCGTCCCTTTTCGCTGAATCCCCACCATAGCCCTCCCATCACACTCTAAACCAATCAAATCCAACAGCCTGTCTCATCTCACAATGTCCTATTAATCTATTATGCGCATTTTGTCCATCTCATCTTCTCCCTCTTTTCTTGCTGTTCATACCCCTGCTCATAGCACTCTGTTCTTGGACAACCCACCCTATTTTTCCTCAGAACTCCAAAGCATATCATGTCATCATTTTCAGTGTCTACAAGCTTGCTTCAAAACTTCTCATGCAATATGATTTACTTATTTTGTGTGCATTGCTTATTGTGCATTTGCAAACTGTAATAGGCTCCACCCAGGCAGGGGTCTCAGGTTTTCTTTACTGGCATATTCTCAGCACTGTAGATGTATCAGCAGTCACTGTAGTTTTGGTACCTTTTAAATATTTTCTATTGAATGAGAGAATGTTATCATTTTTATACTGTTAGTAATATCCAATAACACCAGTTACTCTGCCACACCCATATGAATTATATAAAATTACATCAAACAAGGTACGTTAGTCATAGGTACAGCACTTTTGAATAGAAATCTTACAATGTAGGAGTGAGAAATATCAACATCCTAGTTATTCAGTAAGTTTAAATAAGCTTTTCTCCAAAAACTTCCTATTCTGATACACAATTAAATTGAATATCTATGTACTATGTTAGTTTACATCATACAGCTAAGTGTTTATAATGAGAATTCAGTGCATCCTTTAAAGAAAAAGAATAAAAAATGTCTGCTTAATATATTTCATGAGGCCATTTCTATAATCCTAATATTATAAGACCTTAAAGACTTAATGAAATAGCTATTATGTTACATGCAATGGTTCAGTGCAAGCCCGGATTCTTTGTGGGACCATTTTCTGCCCTCCTGAGGCACCTTGCTTTGGCACTGTTCATTCCAACCTTCAGAAGAGCCCATTCAAGACCATGTGGGCTATATTTTAGATTATTAAACTGCATACTATGTAGTCATCAAACTGCAGACTTTGACAGTGTGGGAACTCAGTAATGGCAATTCCCTACCCATGTCAGCCACGGTTTTCCCATCATTATAAAAGTCTTCCACTGTGTAATCAGTTAGAACTTAATTCAGCTCAGGATTAATCTCAAAGTCTGTGCCTGAGCATTTCTTTTGTACCACTGGTGAGGATTAGCAAAAGCTGAATTTGAAGCCTGGGGATCAGGACAGCGGAAGAAAGAAAGAAGAGGGTAGGACAGGACTGCCAAAAGTAAAGCAGACTCTCATGGGTTCATCTGTTTTATCCCCTTTACATCTATAAATTCTGGAAGACTGGTTTGTTTTGGAAAATTAATCTACTCTTTAGCTCACATTACAGTTTGCAAAAAGTGGTCTACATGAAAATGTCTATACAAAAGTTGCCATGGTGTACTTTTACAAGGGCATACATTTTGTGTAAGGTATAAGGAGCGAAATAAAATAGGATTCATAGTTCTTCCCTTGGACAGATTCCAACATCCACCCGACCAAGCTCTAGGCTATTTGATCTCTGCCTTGTTTCGTTCCTTTGGAAGCAGTGAAATTGGTATAGGTAATATTTATAGATGTCCTCAGGTGGTCATGTGTGGAAGCATTTGAAGAGCTGCTATTTTACATTAGTGGTTCCTATAAAATCTATGTAGTCAGCTAAGAAGCCACTTTTAATACTTAAAGGGGAGAACTTCAACATAACCTCCTAACTTGGGTTGAAAAACTGTGCTGTAGGTTAACAGCCTAAATCCTGGGTCAGTTTCTCGGGTACAACATAACTCTGCTTCTTACTAGACAAGATTGGGTATGTTATTTAGCCTTTATCTGCTCCTCGCTTTTCCTTTTAAAGACTAAAATAACACCTTCCTTATGTAGATATTTTAGGAATTAATTAAACAATACGGGTTAGGCTTCCATAAAAGAATACCACAAAATGAGTGGCTTAAGCATAAATGTATTTTCTTTTGTAAGAACACTGGTGCTGTTGGATTAAAGCCCCATTCTTCTGTTCTCTTCAACATAAATTATCTCCAAAAGACTCAGAGTCCAAATACAGTCCTGTTGGGGTTTAGGACTTTAACCTGTACATCTAAGGGGCCATAATTTAGTCCACTGAAAGCATATATACACTGCCTGACACATAGCGACTTCACAATAACTACTAACTCTCATTATGCAGTATACTTTTACTATCCTATCAGGCATTTATTTGAGTGTGCCAATATTTATCATTGTGGCTGGTTAAAATTCTAGTTTGTAAGTAGAGATAAGTCTACATGGATAAATCCCAAGAGTGTATTCCTAAAAGATGATTGTAGTTCTGATTCTAGTGTGATGCCTTAAGTGCAGCCACATATGCATTGCATGCCTTAGCTCACTGACACATGTTAACAGGCTCTTGACCTTTTCAATCCCCCTGTGATATACCTGTGGTCAGTGCTGGCAAGCTAAGATGTGTGGACCAAGTCCAGTCAGTGGCTTACTTTTGTACAGCTCGTGAACTAAGAATGATTTTGAAGCTGGCTATAGCAATGCATTTTTATAATCCCAGCATTGGAGGCAGGAAGAGGTGAAGCAGAAAAATTTCTGGGAGTTCAAGGCCAGCCTAGGAGAGATACATAGTGAGTTCAAGACTAGACTGAACTAAGCAGTGACACAGTGAGACCGTGTCTTGGAAAACCAACAATAAAAAAAAGATTTTTAAAATTTTAAATTGAGGCAAAAAATAAAATTAATTAGATAAAATTTGAAAAATGCATTCATAAATAAGAAACTGAGGCATACTGGGGCGTAGACCTTATATGGCTCACATACACATCATGGCCCTTTCCTGAACTAGGTCTAAAGTCCCTGGCCATCTCTCACCAATTTCTGAGAAACACCTGCAGCAGTTTTTCAAGCCTTTTGTTATGGGGACCCAGTGATGGTCTCTGAAATGCGTGACAACTGCGGTATTTCTAAACTACTTTGTCTATTTTGATCTCTGCCCACTCAAGCAGGGACTGGTATTTGTTGAGACTGTTGGTACAGTTCTCTTTGAAACCTCTCTTCTTCTGTTTCAAATCTTCCCTGGACTGGAAAAGGAAAGAAAAAACCCAAATTTCTACTGAAGAATACTTTCTATGTATCAAGTCCCATAGCATATTTTTCATATGTTAGCTTTTTTAACTCATAACTGTGTGGTTGAATGCAGTTATTTTTACGCTACGGATTAAGGAAACAGGTCTCAGAAGAGTTAATTCACTTGAACCCAAGGTCTTCTGGCTTCAGAATTCAAGGCCTTTCATCACAGAAACAAACAAAAAAAAAGAAAACCTGGCTGAGTAGAACTGTGTGTAAACCAAGTGTAAACAGACAAAAGTGGCATTTCTCTAAATAAAGCTCCCACTGCCTAAGTGTTCCGAGACATCTGTTTTGGTTTCTTCTCAGTTCTTAGCTGTGTTCACATAGTCCTGTTGTCAGACAAACAATGTCTAAGTTAGCAAGCACTGTAATAACACTTTCCTTGCTCAAATACATTTTTGGACCCCATTCATTTGATCCATCCATTCAAATGTAAATATTGAGAAAGTGCGTAATTTTTCATGTTAGGAAAAATCCAGAAATGAGTGTGGTGATGGGATTGTGACTATATATGTGTCACGTATATATGTATATTCACTGTAGTATACATTACAGTGTTTCTACTGGCTTCTGCTCTACCCTTCCAGGCTTTCCTCTACGCCAACTTTGAACTTAAATTCCTGAAGTACCTCCCACTCTTCCCAGAGCCTTGTGCATGACAGCATATTGTGCAAAATTACACCTATATGAAACAAACAAGAGAAACTGAACCATTAAGCACATGTCCATTAAAAAGGGAGCGTTCAAAGAACAGGATTTAATAAACAAATACTTTAGAGATTTTTGTAATATTACCTAACACAAAACTACCTAATTAGTGAAGTATTTTAATTTGGATATCATTACTATAGGTGAAATATGTGATTTGTTGCACAAAGCAAATATAAAAAGAAAAAGAAAAAGAGCAGCGTCAGCACCATACCAAATGAGCCATGAGAGTCAGCTCAGGCAAAGTCCTGACAGTCTCAAGATAGCAGAAAGGAAGCTCTGAGTTTGTGTGGGGTTGAACCCATGGCACTGATTAGATACGGTTCATCCACTGAGTGTTCACGCGTTGGAAGCTTGGTCCTTGGTGTGGTGAAAGCAGTGGAACCTTAAAAGATGGAGCCTTGTGGGAGGTCCTTAGGTATAGAAGGCGTTGCCCTCAGAAGGGATTAAAATAATTTTCATACAACTTTGATCAGTTCTCACAAGAGCAAGCTCTAAACCCGTGAGACTGACCCGACTCCTGGGCTGCCTATATAGCAATGCGTTACTCTTACATGCACACCTGCCGTTGTATGCTGTTATGGTTTTAATCTTGGGTGTCTTCCTAAGGCCGTGGGTTGAAGGCTTCGATGCCAGTGTGCTTTAGTACTGCGAGCAGATGGAACCCGTAAGAGGTGTATCCTAATGACAGGAGTTAGGTCTAGGGGCTGTGCCCTTGAAGGACATGCTGGAACCATGGCTTTTTTCTCCCTCTTGGCCTCCTGCTTACCCTAAGGTGAGCACTTTCCCCCACTGTGAACCACCTACCATTATATGCTGTTTGGCCGGTGGCCCAAAGGCAACACAGCCAAGTGACTGACTGTGGCCTGAAACCTTTGAAACCAAGAGTCAAAACAAACTTTTCCTTTCACCTTTCTTATCACAGGTGCTGACTCGCAATGATGGAGAGCTCGTATCCCATCCTTCATGAGGTCCTCACCAGAGCCAAGAAGGTGCCCGTAAATCTCCAGAACTGTGAGAGAAACACAGCTCGGTTATTTGTAAATTTACTCAGGCTGGAGTACTTCGTAAGAGCAATAAAACCACAGTAATACAAGGTATAAGGGCAAAAGTGATGGGACCACAGTTTTCACCTCAGTGTCTTTCCAAAGCAGTTCACAACTAAAAGTACACAAAGGACATTTGTTGCAGCGAAAATTTGTCTCTTTGCATGTCTTTGGTCTTACTGTCTTCCCTTGTCACAGGGATGGTTTGGACTCTAGTAAGAAAGCAGAAGGCAATTGAAGAGGCTCCTTTCCTAAGCTTGGGGTTGTACAAGCCAGCAGGAACTCTTAGGATACAGCGCTAGGACAGTCAGTGCCATGAGTCTTGTGAGCAGTAAGAGCAGCTAAGAGATGATTCTCCTGTAGAGAAGCACCATAGGAATCACTAAACCTGCCAAGCAGTAGTGACTGCTCCCTCAACCCAAGGAATACTTCCAGAGAGCTCAAGAGTTCTCAGAGGGAAGGCTACATAGTACAGAAAGGAGGATTAACTGGGAGAGGATGAACTCTAGCATTGTGCCTCTCAGTACTGAGAAAGATCTGACACTAGCTGTATGAAAAGACTTTCTGGTAGGTATTAAAACCCCAACACTCTGGGAGACTAAAGGAGAAGGATTACAAGTTCAAGCCCAGCCTGGGCATCTTAGAAACTTAGTGAGACATTATCTCAAAACAAAAAATAAAAAGACCTGGGATGTAGCTCACTGCAATGTTCCTGGGCTCAGTCCACAAGATAGAGAAACAACAGCAAGAAAAAGATACAGCTATCTCCATGACGCCCTAAGCAGCCCTTTCCTCATCTTTCAGATATCCCAAAAACCTAGAATTCACATCAAACCTAAGGAAGGGGAAAGATCCCTAGGAATAACCATGATGTAGTTTCAACATTAGATTATTGTAATTTAAAAGTAACTATCTCAGTTACAATATACAGTAGTAAGATAGAAACATTCTTATCTCACTGCAACTTACTGCTTATTGGTCAGTCTCTGCCCATCTCTCCTCCCCACTCCTCTCCCCAACCTCTGGAAAGAACCATTCTACTCCACACTCTGCGAGTCTAACTTCTATAGATTCCACATTTAAGTAAGATGGTGCGCTGTTTCTCTTTCTGTGCCCGGCTTATTTTACTTAACAAATTCACCTGCAGTTACATTCATGCTGCTGCACATGACAGAATTTCAACTGTTATGGCATAACAGTGCATCATGGTGCATGAGTAAGGGATATTTTCAACCATTCATCACTTGATGAACATGTAAGTTTCCATTTCTTGGCTACTGTGAGGATTGCTGCAGAAAACGTGACAGATTGACTTCATTTCCTTTTGATACATACTCAGTAATAGGGTTGCTGGATCATGAAGTAGTTTCATTTTTAATCTTTTGAGGAACGTCTGTCCTGCTGTACATAATGGTTGCATTAATTCACACTCCCATCAAAACCACACAGAGGTGCTCTTTTCTCTGCACCCTTACCAGTGCTTGTTATCTTTCATGGTCTTGTAACAGCTGTTGTTACTGGAGTTAGGCGATACGATCTCACTGTGGTTTGGATTTGCATCTCCTGTTGATTAGTAAGTTGAGCATGTTTTCATATACCCTTTGACAGTTTGTATTTCTATTCATGAAAATGTCTTTTTAGTTCTATTGTCCACTTTTAATTGGGTTATTTGTATTTTGCTATTGGACTTTTTGAGTTCTTTATATATTCAAGATACAGTTTTTCTCTCTAGTTTTTCTTGTGCCTGACTTTATCCCTCTCTTCTGGTAATATTTAATTAACCTATTCCTTGAACCTTATTAGGTATTTTTAGTTGAATTTTCAGCATTTGGAAACTTAAGAGTCTTAATTAAAAGACCGTCTTTCCATTTTACTTCTCAGTTATCCTTTTTCCTAAGACAGGGTCCTCAATGATTTAGACTATGCAAAGTAAGTTGTTCTAGGATGTGAGAAGCTGAGAAAATTTAGGGCCTGGAAAAGCTGCTGCCAGGAAAGGCAGCCAAGAGAGACATTAGGTTCCTAAGAGATGTGGCTACAGGAGTCAGAGAGGTCCCGAAAGAAGCACCAAGGACAAAGAAAACAGAGTCTGACTATGCCAGCATTCTGCCTAAGGAGTTGCTGCTGGGACACAGGGAAGTGGGTTAGTGTTTCTGTCTGCACATGTTATTTAGCAGAGCAGAAAAGCCAGACTTACTTTTTTATGTTAAGGATAGATACCAATAATACAGCTATGACTTTGTGGTCATCTTGAAGTCATAACATGAAAACTGAAAGACACAAGGAGGTGGCAGTGTTTCATGACACCAGGCAGAGAAGGAGGTCATCCTGCAGCCACTTCAAGGGCCCTGAACTCTGTCCCTCGGGTGGCCATTTGGCCACTCCGACTACGGTGATGCTGACTCTATTTCCCAAAAGCACCAGGGCAGCCAGGGAATGTGGGAACCCTTTGATGTGCACATGTGAAAAGCACTTTTTTTAGCTATGTACTTGTACAAGACCTTGGTCTACAAATTATAGGTGAGAGATGTGCCATATAACTTTATTGATTTTAAATCAAAATAATCTGACTCTGAAACTCCATCCTAGTTATTACTAGGAGCCTCTTCCCTTCTATAAGATTGACATGAATATGATAAATTCTTGTAATATCTGGAAAATTTAGAGTGTCATAGTGATAAACAATATTCATCTAGTCCCAATCAGTAAAACCTTTTATCTACCTGCTTAAGAATTCTCTGTTGTTTAGACAGCCAAAGACACTTTTGTAAACAAATACAAGCATTTGAGGATTCAGATCCAATTACAATTTTAAGATTATATTTAAAACTAAATATTAGTCTTTGTTTTTGCTGTTTATATTCATAAACTTGATGAAAACACATAAATGTAGAATAAACATTAATACTTTTTGTGTCTACCCATCCAGAAACTTTTCAACTCTTCTCTCTCCATGTATATATATACTTTATGTAATTATATATACATTATCATGTATAACTTAACAATCTGCAAAGCTCAAAACAAGTCAATTACAACAAATCCTTGCTATGGTGGAGCAGGGTCTTGAAAACTTGTAATTTGCCACCAAGCCAGCCTCCTGTGCTGGGATTTCCTATGTAGTTGCCTTAACTTGAGGTAATTCAAGGTTGGCAGACTTTGGAGAAGCCCAGTGTGCATGAACGTGATGTCTGTGGAGTTCTTGCTGCAGCAGGAGTTTACCATGGATGTGGATGGATATTCTATAATTTAACAGCTACTATAATCCCCTGTATCCATAGGTACTTATGAAGTTATCAGTCTAGAATATACATGATGCTTCCTTATCATTTTCTTATGGTAAAATATATTCCTATGCTGTACTTGAGAACTTTCTGACTGGTCTCTGGTGATAAGCAATGTGAAACTACTGATCCTTTTAGCTCTTGCAGAGGGTAGGTGGCCGAGATGGTTAAGCTTGCTTGTCAACTAGACTGGATTGGGAAATGCCAGGAAATCAGTAAAGCATGTTTCTGGATCTACCTCTGAGGGTGTGCCCAGACATGATTAGCATGGGGGATAGCAGAGTGAGGAGGGAACCCCTCCCTGAATGTGGGTAGCACCACAGAATGGGCTCGGCGCCTTGATGGAAATACCTATGAGAAAGAAGAGTGCCACGACGTGTTTTCGGGTTCTTTCTCTACCTTTCTGCATCCTGACTGCCATGAGGCAAGCAGCATTTCTCTAATATGAACTTCTGTGGTGGTATCTGCGTCACTACAGACCTAAAGGCAGTGGAGCTGCTTGACCACATCCTCAACCTCTCAGCTTGTGAGCTAGAAAACATTTTTGCTCCTTAGTTTATCTTGGATATTTTCTCACAGCAACTAAAAGATGACTAATACAATGGGCCAAGTAGATCATTTACACTAGTGTGATAAAAAAAAAGACACACCTACAAAATCGTGGGCTTATGTGTAAATGTGAAAACCGTGTTACAGCATAGTTTGTAATATCCAGTGCTGTCCTATGCCATGGCTGTAATGTAGTTAACTTAGCCAAGCCCCTGTTTGTGGACATTCAATATGCTTCCCTTTTTTCTGAGTATCTTATTTATAATGGTCATGTTTATATATCTGGTTATTTTCTTAAAACGTGTTTCTGAAACAGGAATTTTGATAACTTGGGGCCAAAGTAGTAAAGCTATGGACACAGTATCACATTTCTCTGCTGTTTTGTGAGTACCTAGGGGTGCAGTCTCTGAATTAAAACAGCCAGTGGCTGCAGCTCTGATCCATCACCTTGTTAGATGTCTGACCTCAGGAATGTGACACAATATCTCTGCCCCTTGGTCTCCTTGCTGAACATGGGTTTATGATAACATTTACCTTACTTAGTTGAGTAAGGACCTGAGTTTATATGTATGCAATGTATGAATTACTTAGAAGAATCCTGGCTCACTGGTGCCACTTGTGAAATACTAACAATTTTAATAACAGCAGTAGCATTTTTACCTCCCACAAAACTATATAAGAATATCTTTGTCCCTCCAATTCTAAAGGCATTGGGAATTAAGTTCCTTATATACAGTGCTACAATTTATAGCAGGTACACAGAGATTTTCCTTTTAGAAAAATGTATATCAGTTGCTTAAGAGGTAGAGTTATGAATTTATAAGCTTTTAATAGACATGAATGTTTTATCTCTAATTTATCTTCTATTTGGCTGCTTGTACAATTCAGGATTTTTTTTTTTTTTTTGGTTTTTGGTTTTTCTCTGGTACCGGGAACCGAACTCACGACGTTTCGCATGCCAGGTCAGGATTTTTTTTAGTGGTAAATTTTCTGAGAGTCCAAGTCAGCCTCTTTCCTTACCCTGGGTAAAGTGAAGAAAAAAGAGCCAAAGTAATTGGAGCCTCATAGATGTGTTCTACATAGGGAGTGGTGGTTTTACAACCTCTGCTGCCCACTGTAATCACCTGGGAAAGTTTAAAAGCTGCTGATGACTGGACCACACCCCCAGAGACTATAATTTAATTGGTCTGATTTAATTACCTAACACAGGGATTGTTAAAATCTCCCCAGGTGATTCTATCATGCAGCCAAGACTGACTGCTGTGGTGTAGATGGGTACTGATTAATTTGGGGTCAACCCGGTGTGTCTTATGATGCCGGGTGCTGATGACAATGACTGTCATTATCAGTCAGCTCTTCAGGCCAACAGTCAGTGGCCACGTGGCTGGCTATGAAGTGTTCTAAGAATGACACTAAAGCATCGAATGCAACCAGAGCCTTCAATAGTATAAGATTTCTGCTTTGGAAAATTTCTTCAACTTTCAAAATTTTCCTTTTTAAAAAAAATTACACTTTAACTTTGCAGTAAAAAAGAACACTAGATAGATATTTTGCAATCTTGACTAAGTTTCTACTGTATTTTGCAGCATCTGTTGAAACAACCATCAAAATAGACTGGAGAATGCACGCCTTCTGCATTTAACAGCTTTGATCTTTTGTCTACTCTGAGATGAAGAGTCTTGCAATTCAGAAACTTCAGGAAAGAATCGCATACTTACAAAATTGCCCTTGAACTGGAAATGTTCAACCACAACACATCTTCAAGGAAAAGATGCAAGGGCGGCTTCAAAGAGCTCAGAAATCAGGAAGATGCTGATATGTTAGGAAAGCCTGTGTTCTCTGCGTCTGTGGTTTTGAAAATGCAAATAGAAACAGCACTAGCAAAGATGTTCTATAATTAGCTTTTATCCTGATTCCAAAAGTTGCTTATTATAGAGCTTTTAATAGTATATAAAAACCACTGCTTTAAATTCTTGGGTTGAGCTTTCTGGCACTTTAATGAAAAAATTAGTATTTTCAAGCTTTGTGGTTTCCGTAAAGTCATGTACTAAACAAGCTGCAGTCCTTTGTCGCCAAAAGGTTTTGGAAGTATGGTAGATGCTCTAGTAATTTTCTTTTTCTCCTCAGGCATAGTTTTCTTAATGTCAGAACATGGGTTTAAATTAGAAATTAAATAAATTACTGATCTAAAGTATGGGTGTGGTTAAAGAAAGACACTGGCATTTAGACCAACAAATACGCTTTTTAAACACAGTAACCTTACCCAGTTGTTCTTTTAAAACCACAACAGAGAACAATCTTGCTTATTTCACCATACCACCCTGAAGAAACCACAGGCTAAAAGGGTGTCTTTTTAGGATACATTCCACAGCACAAGGGGCAACCACATCCTGCCCCGAAAAGTAAATCCCAGTTTCCCCTTCACCCCCAACTGCCAGTCAGCATCTAATCCTCCTGACCTCAATGAACGTGTTGGTTCATTATTTTTTTTCACTATGCATCCTAGTGGATAGGGCTAAAATCTGGAGAAGGATCCAGAAGAAGCATCCACTACTCAAAATAAGTTTTATTTTGACAAGTAGTCTAAGTGGGAATAAGGGAAACTAAGTCTTGCCTGTGACTGAAACATTGGTAAAGAGTCAAAGAAAATGCATGGAATTCTTGAGTTTCCCTTTAATGCTTTGCTGACAAGTGTCAAAAAAGAGATAACAGTGGACATGAACAGTCAAATAAATAAATCAGGTAAAACTACAATTATATTATTTTCACACATCACATTACACACTTGGGGACTAAGTGCTATACCCTTGAATCTATCAAGGTGGCAGTGGTTTTGGGATATACATATCAGACTAGTTCTGAACAAGAGCTCAGAATGATATACTGTGAGCACTAAGGGTCTCCCCTCAGCTCAGCCCGTCCCACCCAACTGGAGCTCTGTAACTTGGTGCAGTAGTTCTTAATCTTTAGTTTTTAATAGGTATCTATAGAGAATTTCTAAAATTCCCTGTAGGTAAGGCCCATCTCACAATGGGAAAATCAAAATCTTACGTGCACATACTTTGAAGAAATATCTGTAAGTTTTTCAGATGCACAACAAAACTGAGTACCTCTTTATGTAAGAGGACAAAAAGAAAGGTCAAGTTTTTCACAGGAAACTAGCTTTACTAAGAGTGAAAGGACTCCAGATTATTTTTTAGAATTGCACCAGATGAATGTGGGCGTCTTTCCAGGGTAGGTGAGATAAAATCATTTGATACGCTTTAAGGAACAAGTTTAACTATAGAAAAGACACTCTAATTGTAAGAGATCTTGTATATCAAAGAAAGGTGCACTTGAAAGTGTTATTCCGTTCAATTTTATTCTGCAGGAATTAAGTTTAGAGAATACTTTCATTTTTACTGTTTGTGAATTTTATCAAGAAAACCTCTTAAGTTAAATTAGAAAAGTCTTTATTTTCTGTAAGTAGATCCCTTTGTAAATATCTTTATTTTTACAAAAAATGTTGGTGAGGATGTGGGAAGGTGGCATAAGGAACCCTTAGTGTCAGGGGGAATATAAATTAATACAATCATTGTGGAAATCATTATGGAAATTCCTCAGAAAACTAAAGATAGGACTACCATAAGACCCAGCTAAGCTGCACCACTCCTTGGTATATTCCTGAAGAAATTAAAGTCAGAACATTAGAAAGATACCTGCATGTTCCCTTTAATTTTTATTTATTTATTTATTTTTTATTTTTTTTTGGGGGGGGGTACCGGGGATCGAACTCACAACCTTGAGCTTACCAGGCAGGCACTTATGCCACTGAGCTATATCCCCAACCCTGTGTTCCCTTTATTGCAGCACAGCTCATAATAGCCAAGTTATGAAATCAGCCAAAATCCCCATCAACAGATGGCTGGACAAACAAAATGTGCTAAACATGCTATGGAGCATTATTTAACCATAAAGAAGAGCAAGACCAGGTCATTGGAAAGTAAATGGATAGAATTGGAGATAGTCACGTTAAATGAAATAAGCCAGACTGAGAAGGACAATTATCTCATGTTTTCTCTCATCTGTGGAATCCAGCAAGGAAAAGATGGTATGAAAGTAGAAGACTATTAGAGGAATACAGTCAAAAGGAAGGGAAAGGGCTGGGTAAGACAATAATAGAGGAGATGGTTATGATCGAAATCTCTTCCAGTCCATGTAATCAGTATGCACTATCAATTTTTTTAAATTTTAAATGAAAGTTTTATTAATTTAAAAATTTTAAAATTTAATCAGAACTTTAAAAAGAGAAAAGTCTGTATTTTTATACTTGTTTATTGTAAATCATTCCTCAAAATGTTTCCGTTAGAAACTATTGCCAAAATGTGATCACACTGTTTATAAATAAATGTTACACATTTATTTTGATGAGATCGAATGTTACCTTTCTTTGCAGCCATGGCACCCTGTTACAGGTGAACAGGTGTCCTGTGTGGGAGGAGCTAAGAGTGGTATAGTATATGGGAAGTGGGGACGGATCTGAGACCCAGGGAGAAGGAACTCCTGCTGTCCAGGTTCCCTACCTCAGTGGAAACCAGAAGGACGATCATCCCAGAATTCATTAACTGTATTCTTTTAATAATGTATTATATTATTTTGCTGTTGAAAGCACTGAATTTAAGATGGGGAGGAATCTCTAACACTACAGTTGGTCAATAATAAGAGTTAGGGTTTAAAATCATGTCTTATTCCCTAGTTTATACATGTAAAATTGCATTTTATTGGGAAGTAAATGTCCTTTCTTTGTCCTTATGTCTTAGAGGATAATTGTGTGTTCACAGAAGAGCAATAAAGATGATACAGCTGGGATCTAATAAGACATTTTCATCTCTCCAAGTTTTCCTATTATTCATGAAGAACTATGATAATATTGTAAGAAATTTTTAAGGGAGTCCTATTTTTAAAAACTCTACCACGGTCTAGAATTGCATTCTTAGCAAATTAAGAAATAAACAAAAGAGAAAGGCGGAACAGGACCAGACTATGACCTTAATTGTGGACAGTGTTTAGGTTAAATGATATGGCTTACATGCACAGGAATGCGAATACCCTAACATTGAATCCCAGTACCAAGCAGTCTTATCCATTTCAGGCACAGAGCCCCTATAAAACTTGAAGCTTGAAGAAATGAGGAGGAATTCTTTCTGTACTCAAGCTTAGGTTTTAAGAGAAAATGAAGAGGAAAGTGTAAATCTCTCTAAACTAACTAGTCAGTTATATCATCCCACCAAGAATAGAGAAAATCCAGGACAGGCTATTGTACCCATGTTTTCCCTCACATGGAAAAAAACATCAGAAGGAGGGAAAGCATGTCTCTCCTGGACAGAAACTGTGCCAAGTTGTTTTCTCATATGTTTAACAAAACTGTGTAAAGAAATGTCTAAAGCTAAACTATTCACTGAGATTCAGAGAGAAGCAAAAGGCTAGCAAAATGCCTACCACATCTCACAATTTATAGTTCTGTTAACTAACATGGAAAATACCAGTCCTCATGTGGAAATTTTCTTATTATCAATGTCTTCAGTACACACAAAGTAAATATTAAATTTGAGGGTTTAAGATAACACGAAGTACTTTAATTCAGTGTCAGAGATGTGAATAATTATTTATTTCAACTATACTTTCAAACATCCCATGTTGGCCTTTTCCTTTATTCACCTTGTAAAATTTGCTTTTAATGAATATGTTATGGTTTAAATCTAAAATATCCCCCCAAACCTCATGTGTTGAAGTCTCAGTCACCAAAGCAGTAGTGGGGGGGGGGTGGCGGGTAGAAGGTGATTGTATTGTGAGCGCTGTAACTTCTTCATAACTTGATGCCTCATTGGGAAGTGATGGATGCTGAGGATTTAGGGCTCTGCTGAAGGGATGCGTGATGCGGGGCTGCCCTTGCAGACTGCATCTTATCCCCACCCACTCCTCTGTACCTCTTTTTATCCAGCTTTGCCTCCTGTCTCCCTCTCACTGCCTGCTATGATGTTCGGCCTCACTTACTGGCCCAGAAGCAATGGATCCAGGGAACCTCAGACTAAAGCCTCAGAAATGAGCCAAAATAAATCTCTCTTCCCTTCATTTGATTTCCTGATATTTTCTGATGGAAGGTAGCTTTGAAAAATCATTATTTGCATCACTGAAATTTCTTTTACTGTAAGATTGAGACACTGAAGAAATGACAGCATTATCCACTTACCTTTTGCTTATGTCTACTTTTAGGTGTTATTTTGATTGCTTTTCAGTGTGTTTGAAAGAATATGTCATCCATCTATTGTTTGTAAATATATGGAAAACTTGTACACTTCTAGTGCATTTATATAGCAGTATACTACAAAATTATTTCAAACATGAATTTAATTTTTAAATTTATTTCTTTTCCTACATGGATTTTCAGTTTGCATTATACCAGTGCATCAGAATCTTTTCCTCTGAGATAAAACACCCAACTCCTGTGCTTAATCATTTAACATTTTACCCCAGTGACAACGCAGCAGCACATTTGTTGCCATACTGACTGTCTTGAGTGTCACTCAGGCAGGTGTCATTTCAACAATTGATTCTTCTTTGCAGGTGATACACTTGTACATCTGTTTGTTTATATCAACAATACTTTTGTATTTTTCACATCGTATTTGCCTCTGATGTTTATTTCTAGTGAAATCTAATAATAAGTTCTGCTTACTTTCTTTTACTAATTCATGTTTAGGTGTAAAGAAAATAGCCTATAATTTTTGCTACAATATATAAAATGTCTTAACATAAGTACATTGAATATAATTTTATACTTCTCCAGAACTCAGTGGTGCCCTTTTACAGTACCAAATGGACATGTTTGGAGCACTGAGACTGAATAGAAAGATCGTGCCAAAAGATCTGCAAAAGAAA